GGATTTGATCTCTTCTCTTTGAATGAGGTGATCAGATAGCTCTGTTTACTCAAGATACTCTGGTTTATGCCTGTCGTTTTGGGGTCATTATTAATAGTGCCCCCTTTCAGTCTCAACGTGTTCTGGTTTTGATGTTAAATAATATGATCATCCTAATTATCAAACATACAGTGTAGTGGAGAACATAAACATTAAATAGATGTTACGGGTTGAATTATGTCCTGCACTCTAACTAAAATACATGCTTAAGTCCTAACCCCTAGAACATGTAGATGTGACCCCATATTTGGAAATGTAGTCTTTTCAGATGTAATTAAGTTGAGATGAGATCATACTGGATTAGAGTGGGCCTAATCTAATGACTGGTGTACTTATAAATAGAGAGAAATTTGGACACAGAAACACACCAGAGAACAACCTGTGACAAGGGGAACAGAGATTGGAATGATATGTTTATAAGCTAAGGAATGCCAAGGATTGCCAGCAACCATCAGAGGCTAGGAAGAGGCAAGGAAAGATCATCCCCTAGAACCTTCAGAGAGAGCATAGCCCTGCTGACACCTTAATTTCAGACTGATTTCTTCCAGAACTGTGAGAAAATATATTGTGTTGTTTTATGCCACCTAGTTTGTGGTACTTTTTTACAGCAGTCTGAGAAAAGTAATGTAATAGGCAATTTAAAAAGCTACAGAGTTGCATAAAGCAAAGTATAGTGTACCATGGGCAACATGATGGCGGTATACAAGGGCCTATGTGGGTTTAGGGTGAAGGGACGATACCACTGAGACAGTGACACTTAAGTAGGGTTTAAAGGCTGAGTTCAAGAATGTTTCAGGGAGAGCACAGCATGTTCAATGATCCTGAGATAAGACATAGCTTGGTGCTCTAAAGAAGATTAAAAGGAGGTCAATACAGTTGGAATTTAAGAACAAAAAATGACAGTAGCTTATTATGAGGCTGCATAGATAAACAGGGTTCTGGCTGTAGATACCCTGAAAAATACCGTAAAGATTTTGGACTTTATCCTAAAGTTTGTGGAAAGTCACTGGAGAATTTTGAGAATGGAAATGGAGGTGATATGATCAATTTGTGTAATAAAATGCCACTCTTGATTGAGCTTGGGATAAAGAAGCGGCAATGGGAATGGAGGGACACAGATTTCTGCGATGTTTAGCGTGCACAGGTACAAAGTTTGCTAGGTGGGAAATGAGAGAGAGAAGAACGAAGGATGAGTCCCCAGTTTCTGGCATGGACAACTATGCAGATAGTGTCTTTTGCTGAGATGAAGAAAACTAGAAAAGAAATTTGAGGGAAGAGGAATACCAATTTCCATTTAGGTTTATGTTATTCTTGAAGTGTATGTGAAAAATCCAAAAGAACTTACCAGTATCATTGTAAAGAAAAGAAAGACTGCGGATTCAAAATTTAATTGACGTATCCTTTGTTTTTCCTAATCTGCAACAGGTAGAATTAGGGGAAGCACACATACTATAAACATACTGGCCCGATTCCCTACTCTTTTTGGGACCTTAAAGTTATAAATGTTCTTTGATGCGTCCTCATGTAGAGTTAGGCAACTTGAACAGGTGCCTAGGGAATCTCTTTAGGAGAATGTTCTTTCTTTGTGGGCAGGAGTCTTTTCCTCTTAAAATTGGCTTCTCTCTCTCTCTCTCTCTCTCTCTAATTGTGGTCAGGAACTCCTCATGGCATGGAGGAGAGTGTTATGTTGCAGGGTAGGGGTAACTGCTGGGAACGGGTGCACTGGGGGATTATGTTACATTGGGACAAAGAACTCTGCATGGAGATGTTACGTGAGAGGGAACTATAAATAGGGTTATCTTGTGACACAGAAGTATATTTTACCAAGTAAATACAATAAAGTATTACAGGTGGTGTGACTGAAGAATGTATATAGTGGGATACACAGTAGGTCATCATACTCAGGGCTGATTAGAGAAGACAGCACTTAAGGTGGATGTGAAAGATATTTAAGTGTTTTCCACATTAGACTGCAGGGATTCCAGGGATAGGAGCATGCTGAAGAAAGACACAAGGTCTTGAAATAGCTTGGGTTCTTAGCAAGATGCTTTGGTTTTAAACAACAGAAAACTCAACTCAAACTTATTTAGCTAGAATAGAAAATGCATTGTCTCAGAACCATTTTAAAAGATGCATACTATTGCTTCATACGGATATATACAAATGTAACCAATTCCATGTTTCTAGAATTTTAGATTATTTTCAGTGTTTCTTCTTTATGGATGTATAAAATCACATCCTTGAGCGTTAATTTTTGCTAACATCCTTGTATTTAAATCCTGAAGCCAATACAGTATAGTGATTAAGAGAACATGGATTCTCGAGGAAGACTGCCTGGGTTTGAAGTCTTCTTTGCTACTTATTAACTGTGAGGCTTGGGGATGTCAAATAGCTTTTCTGACTCAGGTTTCTTATCAGTAAAATGGGTGTGATAATGTTCTTTCTCCCAGGAGTATCATGAAGACCAAATGTTATTCTAAATGTTAGCACAATAGTGCTTGACCTGTAGTAATAGCTCAATAACTGTTAGTTCTTTCATGATCTCTGATTCTTAAGAAAATTCTTAGAGCTAAAATATTTAAAGTAGCTAGGCCAAAAACTTTAAATATTGTTAATGCTTGTTACATATATTGCAAATTGCCTTTCGGCCTTTCAGAGAGGTTGGAGAAATTTGGAGGAAGACTGCAAAATTAGTTAACAATTAGTTAACTTATGACAATCATTATCAGTTGTCAAATCGCTAAAGTTGGTATATGATAGCTTTAATTTTTTTGACTATTGAATATTTTTATATGTTTCTTGGAAATTTGTGTTTCATGAGTTTTCTGTTTATTTCTACTGCTTATTTAAAATGCTTTCTTTGTAGGAGCTCTTTATAGAGTCAGGATAGTAATCTTTTCACTACTATGTATAGTGTAATTATTAATAGTTATTTACTTCTTAAGTTTACGTTAATTTTCTCTGGTACAGAATTTATAGCTATTCATGGTGTCAAATCTATCAATATTTTATTTGCCTTATATGCTTAGATAGATTTCCCAGCTCCATTTGGATTGATATACAGATATGTTTCCTTCTAAGTTTTTGTATGATTTAATTTTTTACATTAAAGTCTTTAATCCATATTGAGTTAAATTTTGTATATGGCAAGAGATAGGGATCCTGTTTCATTCTTCTGCATGTGGCTATCCAATTTTCCCAGCACCATTTATCAAATACGGCATGCTTTCCCCAGTATGTTTTTGTCTTCTTTGTTGAAAATCAGTTGGTCATAGCTATGTGGTTTTATTTCTGGGTTCTCTATTCTGTTCCATTGGTATAAGTCTCTGTCTTTATACCAGTACCATGCTGTTTTGGTTACTATAGCCTTGTAGTATAATTTGAAGTCAGGTAATGTGA